GTGAAAGGAAGCAAGGGGAAAAGCATTCATCTGTCCGCAATCTGGTAGTTGAGAAGTTGTGATAAAATAGTGCTAGTGTTGGAAATGTTTGAATTAGTAATTCAAAAAAGTGAACAATTTTTCCTTCCCTGGCCCAACCCCCCAGCTTGCCTAATAATCCACTACATCTCATCAGCTGTTTAGGCCACCAGATCCAGGTGGAAGAGACAAGCATTTATTCAATACCTGTAATGTACTAGGCACTCTGCTTGGCACTGGGGATATAAGTGTCAAGGCCAAGAACAGTTTGGACCCAGCCTTTCCAGAACTCACAGTCGCTTGGGAGAGAAAGATTCAGTCAAAGACTGTGAACAATCCTAAGAATTTCTCTGGGCATTTGTGGGGCAGGTAGAGCAAATTGAGAGCACGACCCTTGTTTCCAGTTGTGCTTTTGACTCTGCCCTGCAGATCTAACCCGGTGACTGTGGATAGTTGAACCTGAGGGTGGGGATGAAACAGCAGTAGTCATCTGGCTGCCTCTCATCATGATTCTTTTTTCCTCCTTCCTAGGGGAGAAGTCGGATTACACAGCAAATGTAAAGGAAAATACTGAGCATCTTATATTTTTGATATAAGCTTTTTGTTTTCTTAAGTCTAGCCTCTGTGGTCTCATTTTTCAAAAGGAGATGGTAGGCTTGTGCCCAGAGTTGAGATCTGTTAGGCTAATCTGTTTCTTAACGAGACGCTGGTATTAATCTTACAGCTACTTAACCCTTTTTGGAAACCTTGTTTGCTGGTACAGTGTCACTGGCGATCGTGAAGATTAGAGATTATTGCTTGTTCCATTATAGCTTGGCAGTAACAAATATGTTTATGAAGTTGGTAAGTCTGATTTAGAGGGTGTAATCCTTACTTCTGGGTGGGCCTCGAAGGCAAGATTAATAGGCCTTTAAAACAGAATAGCTTGGAGTTACTGATATCATTATCTGCTGAAGGTTTCTATAGCAATGAGTGGTTTGATTGCACTGTGCAGTCGGTGGCGTAGTGAGTGAATGTAAAAGGATCCCCGTAATTTAGCAGAAACTCTCCTGGAGCAATTTAATTAAACACCAGTAGAATGAGTACCAAATTCTTTAAAAAGTTTACTGTATAGACCTAGATTAATTAAAGATATATTATTATCCTGAATTTACACACTGCCACAAATATCTTTAATGATTTTAAGATAAAGATTTGATAAATTTGAAAGTTATCTTTTAAATGATGAAGTACAGATTTAATGAAGATTTGTTTATTTTAATACAGTTTGAAAACAAAATTACATTAGACTGTAAGGAAAAATGTAGGCTGGCAAAGAAAAAAGACTAGATTTTTGAAAGGCACAGGAAGCCATACTGCCAAGGGTGAGTGAACACATTCTTTGTTATTGCAAGCTGGATTACCAGATGATATAGCCTTCCTTATTAGCAATATTGCGTAAAATGTGTACGATTCTTCTGAATCGCTACTGTAGGTTCAGACTTCTTTAGAAAGGTAGAATCATCATAATTTAAGAGCATATGGTCTGAAATGGCTTTAAGGGAATATCCTCTAATGGACAGAATAAAAATGTATGTGTCTCTTGATGCCTTTGTAGATGTGTCTGTTGAAACTGGTTCTGGTTACCATCCCTTCTTTTTTAATACCTTGGCGATATCTTCCCCACTTACCAATGTTTAGGGTTTGGAGTTATACATGTTTCAAAACAAACCCCCTACTATGTTCCTATAATATGGTAAACAAGATAATAGTTACTTCACATAAACTTTCAGCATCTGTGAAGTGGGGTGAAAAGCTTTATCTTAACTTAGCGTTTTGGACTTTGGCACTTAAACAGCAGGCTTTTGAAGGGCGAAGTTGGCCCATTTGGATATTCATGTTGCTAACTATGTTGCAGACATTACTCTGCTGCCACCTGGAGGTTGTGTGTGGGGTGTACATCTAAAGGTAGGCGGGGACCCGCGAACAAAAGCTGCCCAGGCTGGATGTTAGCTATCACCTTGTCCTTATTCCTTGTTGAGGTCGGTTGACATTGAGACTGTTACCTTTTTATTTTTCACTGTAGAGCTAAATACACACTTTGAATTCAAGAACAATATTACCGTAGAGTATAAATATCTTATTGTTTGATATTAGGCAAATTCAAGACTATAGTTATATAGATTTTTAAAAACACATGCCAGTGAGAAAGTTGACTTTTCTGCTCCATCCTTGCCTTAAGGTGTAAACCAATCCTTATACTATTTCTAAACAGAAACATGGATGAAAACTCCTGACACTGTTGCCAGGCAGTGAAAATAAATCCACTTGGAGGTTTGAGGTCTCTGGTGACTTAAATTAATAGGAGTAGCAATGTGGAGTAGGGAATGTATAGCTAATGTACCTGCCGGGAGAACCAGAGGTTGTTTGGCCAGAACTAGCATCAAGCAGGGCCATGGGGGCAGTGAAGGGGAGGGGTCCAGGGCAGGGCCTTGGGGCCCACAATGTTGTATATTAATACAGATTTAGGCAAATATTCTTCACTGTCTGTTCTTGCTAGGAGTGTCCAACACTTTTATTTTCTCTGGATCCAAACCTGCTTTTGGTGGTTATTTCAACTACAGTGGCCCTTGTTTACCAGCAAATGAGTGTTTGGGAAGAGAACCAATCAGTCAAGGCACAGAGAAAAATACCCCTTAAGTGAACCTTCCTGTTCATCCCAGAACATCCTGACCAGCGATGCTTCCAGGAAAGCCTTGATGCAGAAAGAGGGCACCCGGCATACCTGGGGCCGTCAGTGCTCAGCCTGCCACTGTCTGAGGTTGGAGCCCAAGGGCTGCGCTGTTATTCTCACCTTTGACCAATGCCCGAGGAAAGGCCGAACCTCGTCTAGAATGAATTATGCTTTTTTGAAGCATATGAAATTTGTGGTATTTGAGGAAATAGACATGTGGGATTTCTTCAGGTAGGCACAAGTCATGTGCTGTTTTGCAGAGCCTGCCTTCTGAATCAAGGGCATTTATTTAGTTAATCGTTTTTTTCTCCTATCAGGATTTCCTGTGAGAGCTCCTGGGCTTGTTTACATCTTGGTCCACACAAATAATACTGGAGCGTGAGCAGTCAGGTTATGAGATACTCTGTTCTGCTAAGAGTCGATTTTTAAGGAGCTTCATCCAAAAACCTGGCTTCGCGCAGACGGCTCCTTGGCAATTCATTTATACTTGTCATCTAGTTTGTTTGTTTTTTTTTCCTCTTCTTCCTCCTTTTTTTTTTTTTTTTTATCTTAATAAAAACTTCTATCAGCAGATCCTGATGAGAATTATTCCTCTTACAGAGATTAAGAATTTTGTGTCCAGCAGATCATCGCCTGAGCAGGAGGATGTGAAGGTAATGATTCCCTGCCCCTCTTTGTTCTCTGCACTTCTCTCCTGAGTTGGAGTAGAAGTGAAGATCTAGTGGTAATCCAGTTCTTTTTTTTATATCTTAATAAAAACTTCTATCAGCAGATCCTGATGAGAATTATTCCTCTTACAGAGATTAAGAATTTTGTGTCCAGCAGATCATCGCCTGAGCAGGAGGATGTGAAGGTAATGATTCCCTGCCCCTCTTTGTTCTCTGCACTTCTCTCCTGAGTTGGAGTAGAAGTGAAGATCTAGTGGTAATCCAGTTCTTTTAAAAGACCAGAAAAACCCAGGGATGTGCCCTAAGTCACATTCAGAATAACCTGAAACGTTGTTTCTTTTATTGAAATTTCCATCTCTACTCTTTGTGACCCTACCTAGCTATCTTTCTGGGTTGTAGCTATGTATGCAAGATGACTTAATACATTTTCCAAAACAATTTTTTTTTGAAGGTTGACAGTGATAGCTGTTTGCCAATAATGCGATTACTAGAGTTAACCTGGGAGAGGTTCTCTGAGAATAATGTACGGATAGCTTACAGACATGTTTCAGCTTGGGACAAATCCTTCCCTCATTTTTAGCTCTTAAATAATACTGATTAAGGACAAGCCTAGTTTTCTGTTTATGTATGGTGATGTATATGTAACGTGTCTTTACTGGCTGAGGTTGTTTTTCTAGTTTACTAAAATAAGGAAGCTTTAGTGTGGCACATAGTAATTTGTTTGTTTGTTTTTTAAAACCACCTGACTTTATCTTTTCCAGTATATGAAAAGCCTGGTGGTTCAACTGAATGAACATGGAGACCAGGACAGCTTAGATTTGGGTATGTTCCAAAATATTGCTTTTTCCTTGCACTCATAGGGGTATCACAGTCCCAGGTATACAGAAGACAAGAAAAAAAATAGTTTAAAATAAAATCTTTCTTCCTGGGAACCTTGTCTATTGCTTGAAACCCACCCAGATAAATTTTCTTTGCTGCATCGGTTATAATACTGACTTCAGGAGTTGAGTCTCCACTGACCATCTAAAAAGCAAAACAAATCAAAGCAAAACAAAGAAAGCTTTTCCTGAGCAGTTTTACTCTGGCTTGGGACTCGTCATATGTTCTTTGTTATTCCAACGAAGTAGGCACTACCAGCTTCAGTTTTGGGGTGAAGCAACAGTCCAGTGGCGGAGAGCGAGTGGTGGAGTGGAGACTCAGAGCTTCCTTCTGCCTGGCCCAGGAATCCCTAAGCTTACCACCATAGCATTTTGATACCCAGTGGGGTCCCCTTGGAGCTGAGCCTCTGTGATCTTGTCCCTGGTCTCAGGAAAAGACCAGATGCTTGTGTGACGTGAGTGTCCTTCCCAAGGCACCAAGAGCTCCCTTGGCAAGGAGAAGGTAGTCCTCCCGTGGACTTGGAAATTCTCATCTGCTCGGGCGCATTCCAGGGCACAGCTCACTGAGGGCACCTCCCCAGGTCTCTTCCTCAGAGAGTTCATAATTCTCCAGGGCTAAATTGGGCTCCAGAGTCCTCGTTTGAGTTAGAGCCTGATGAAGCTGTTGTAGGATTGGAGGATATATGTAGGCTGAGCTATCAGCAGATGCTTCATCTGGGTACCTGGATGGTCTGTGAAGGCCTCTGGGGCTGATAAGTGGACAGCAGACAAGCATGAACTTTCCTAGTTGGTTTCTTCAGGCTCAGCAAAGCTGAGACAGCTCACATACCTAGAAAACAAAAGGGAGAAGCAGTTTTAGGAGTTGCAGAGGGTGAGGTGGTGGGAGTGGTGGTATTGGTGGTGGCGGTGAAGTGCCCAAGCTGTTGTGAAATCAGGGAAAACCAAGAAAATACCCAAGGTGAGTTTAACAACAACTGTGGGTGGGCCTGCAGAGCCTCATGGTGAGGGGGCTCACTGGAGGCCAGTGGGTGCTGTCGGCACGTTTGACAGGCGTACAGCAAAGCAGTTACAACAGTTAGGGAATCATGAAGAGTGAAGCCGGGCAACGGGGAAGTACCCCTCAGCGTCGGTCGGCTGTGCTGCTGGTAGCTTGGCCACCAGCCAGAGGTGATTTGCTGCATCTCCTTGCGTGAGAGACTACTGAAATTGGAACAGAAACTTAGACTGTACCCAGCAATAAGCATACCTTTAATATTTCTGCTATAAAAGGTAAGAGGAATAATTTTCTTCCAGAAGGGAGAAGAGGAAGGAGATATGAAAGCCAGCTTCTCTGTGTAGATGATTGTTGTGGGCCACTGAAGCCAGGAGCATAGTGTTGCTCATGCATACAGCAGGAAGTCTCAGCTACAAATTGCATCATGTTCCTGGGAATGTTAGCTTTGAAGAATGTTTACCAAGACAAATTGCCAGTGGGGGAGGAGTGTTGGCTGTTAAAAGTAGGAGATAGCAGAATTATTTTAATTTTAGGCTTTAAAAACTCACCCCATTCTCAACCTGGTGCACTAGCTGGGCGAAGAGAACACGTGTAAAGGAAATTGTAGCGGCCTGACCTAACTCGAGTGTTCCGTCAGCAACATCATTGTGTCCAGGGAGGATTATAATGAAGGGTTTGACAGAGACGAACGGGCATGACGTTAATCCAGTGACTTATGAAAGGGCCAGGAATGATTCTTCCTTGTGCTAACATTTGCTTTTTTGTTTATTTAAACTATTTGGATTAAGAAAGTCATCTGACTTCATGCAGAGAAAATGAGAATAGATTTTAAAAGAACCTTCTGAGACAGAAAAGGGGGCAGCAAGCAGTGAGCAATAGTCGGATGGCAAACTGGAGTCTGGAACTGGGAATGGCTTTTCCCCAAGGCCACTTCCACACGTATTTTATAGGTGCTTATATTCTGCTCAGTCGACACGGAAATGCTGACACATGTAGGTTGAGGTACATGTCTTTGCTGACTTGTATTATTCAAACTGGTATGATGTGAGTTTAGTGTGATCTCATAAGCTAGCTACATCAGTGCCGTTTCAGTACAAGTTTCTATGATAATAGACATATTCTGTATCTGCACTAATAATGCAGTAGTCAATAACTGCATACGTTTATAGAATATGCGATGTGTGACCACTGAAGAACTGATGTTTTAATTTTATTCAATTTATTGCACTGGAAGTCTCCTTTCCATTGTTGTTGACCCATCAGAGCATCAAGAATCAGACTAGCCATTATTAGTTTATACACCGAAAATGTTGATTGGAAGGATACTGTCCGAGGTGGATAACAGTAAGCTCATCCAAGCCAGTGCCCCTAGCCACCTCAGTAGTGACAATAGCATTACATTTCTGGTGAGTCCAGCAGTAAGGGCTCTGCTCTCTGTGGATGCCGTAAGTGCCTGGTGCTTTACTCAAAGAGGAGAATATCAGTGGAAGGGCTGGGATCCAGTTTTTTTTCTGTCGCAGTGGAGAGTGGGACTCCTCAGTGTGTGGTTCCTTCACATTCTAGGCAGGTAGACTGGGGGAGGGAGTAAAGCATTTGGAGGAAATGGAAAAAGAGAAAGTAGTTAAAATGGATCAATACAGAAATTATCAAGGAAGAAAGAGTCCATCTGGCTCAAGGGTCCAATTCGCCCCTATAGAAATATAGGGGACTAAATATGATTAAGAAATAGAAGCTCAATAGTGGGCAGCAGCAACTGCTGTGCCAAAAAGAAGGAGAGTGGACACCTAGCAGGAACATGTGGACAACCTGTGAGAATACAGTGGCTGAGCTTTGGCTGCCCTTCAGAATCCCAACTGCAAGCAAAGATGCCTAAACTGTCACCCATCAGCAAAGCCGTAAAGGGTTTCATTAGCTGCTCTCTTGCAACTCTACTTTTAAAAGGTTGAATCAGAAAAAATAAAACCATGTGCCTGGTTAGAAAGTCAGATTTCCAATTAAAAATTAAATTCATGCTTGAGGACTGTGAAACGAGTGCCAGCATCTCAGGTGCGTTACAGAAGCACCTGTAAGGTGACGTACCTGCTCTCTCAGCAAGTGATATTCAAGAGTGTGAGTGAGGTTGTATGTGGCAACCTAGATTTAGCGACACTCATACTGAAGCTGATTTTCCTGCAGTAATTTATCAACGATGGCTGCACTGAACTGAAGATTATTTGAAAGTTACTTGGGTAAAGCTGTGTGTTGTATGACTGTTTGGATGAGAAAAGAAGGATTTGGTGAAACTGACTTATTAAAACAAGAAGTATGTGAGCATGTTTTGATTTTCCTCATGGGGGAGGGTGGTGAGGAGGTAGGGAGAGACACTTGGGGAGGTGGTGATGGCATTGGCCGGCATCATCCTTCTTGCTTAGAAAGTCCCAGTACCTTGAAGCTCTGGGCATGAAGCAGTGCCGTATCTGCTGTTGCAGGTCTGGCTGGCAGAGTGAACTTGTCACAAGTGCCAGAGAAGATTTTAAACATAATATCATGTTAAGATTTTTGGGAAAAAGTCAATCTTTTTAAATTATAGAAGTAATAAATGCTCACAGTTGAAAAATTAGAAATTTTAGAATGATTAGAAAAAAAGAAAAACATCCCTATAATTTTTCCGCTCCAAAGCAGCTACCATTAAATTTTGGTATATTTCCTACCAGTATTTTTCCCGTGGATCTATTATTTACATTGTTATAATCATGCAAACGATAGAATTTTATGTCCTGTTTTATTCATTTAACATTATATACCACAAGGAAGCTCCATTTCAGAAGGTAGCTTAATTTGATTCTGTACATTTTTCTACAAAAAATATGGATTACTTTTCTAAGAAGAAAAGGAAACTATCATAGAGTCTCCTCACAACTATATTTATTGGCCAGGGAAAAAACCCTTTTTAAAAAATAATATGTATTATTTGATTTTATAGAGTTGCCTGGTTGTCAGTACATGCAGAGGCTCAAATCTCAAGTATTCTTTAACTCTTTGAGTCACTTCATTGCTATTACTGTTTGTTACTTATTTATGATATGAGAGAAAGAAAGCATCTTCATGGGTGTTGGGACTTGGAGGGTGGGCACGTGGGAAACAGATGGACCAAGGAGGCATAAGGAAGAAAACCTGATTGGATACCCTAAAACCCATCCAGACCAATCAGGAAGAGAAGAAAACAGAAACAGCAACAAACAGTAGGAAGTGAAGGGCTTCAGACTGCTCAGCCTAGACGACATGGACCTTCTGCGACTACAGACAAGACCACGAAGGAGAAACGAAGACCCCCACACAGGAAGCTTAGGAAAATGTCAGCAAAGGGAAACTGCGAGGAAATGATCGGAGACCCAAAGGAGCAGCCACTGTAGAACAGAATGTTGGAATTGGTACAAGCTCTTGTTCCCAGCCCTCCATCTGTGGATCTATCTGAGAGAGGTCCAGGCAGTCAATATTGCTAGTTTGGTAAAACACCAATAAGTAAGATTAATTAGGTTAATCTTTCTTTTCTTCTTATGTAAACGGAAAGTTTGGAAATGGAATTAATGCTATTAAGCTATAAAATCTTAGAAAACAGTGTTTTAAAGTTGTTTATGAAAATAAAGTTTTGTGATGGTTCTTAGCAAGATCTTAAGGGTGGAATCTGAAGATCTAAGACCCACGTTAGTGGAAGCTGGCTCTCTATTGGCTATTATTTGATAGGACATGTGTATCTATGATGAGATTTCAAGAATGTGCCATGAAACGTGAAAGAAAATAAAAAGGGAGAGGAAACCTTAGCAGAGCTCTTATGTAACCCTCTGAAAAACAAGTTTTAAAGCCTACTTTTTGGCAGATCTCTCTCTATGCCCCAGGCTGTAGAAGCCTCTGTGGATTCCCTTTTTCTTTTCAGATTTTTTTTGCGGGGGTGGGGTGAGCGGGTGTCATCT